GAGAGAGAGAGAGAGAGAGAGAGAGAGAGAGAGAGCGCACAAGCACCCAAGACCTCACTGTGACACACAGGCCTTCTGTGCTGGGTTCCCCCATTTTCAATTGTTCCTTGCTCACTTAATATCACTCAGACCTTTCCTAGATGACTTCTGTGGCCATAATAACTTCAGCTTGGAGACCTCACAGTGGGTGAACTAAAGTGTGAGGGAGACAAGTACATTTCAAAGACTTTCTACAATCAGACAGTTTTTCCTTCTGAGAAGCTCAACTGGCAACAGAAGCCTACCGCACGCAGCAGGACCATCAAAACTTTCTATTGAATAGATATTTATTTCCTTGATTTACAACAAACACATGGTTTTATTTAAACAGAAAGCACACTTTTGTTATTTAATTTTCTAGATAAGTCTTTCAATATGATGCATGTAGTAAAGATTACTTGCAATATCTATATATGATGCATCATCTTCACAACCACAGTTTAAGGTGAAATTTAAATTCAGCCAATAATTCCAAGGTGACAGTTTTATCTACAAAGCCTCCTTTTCTATTTGAACCAATTTATTTAATGGAACAATTTAGATTACTTATTTAAGCTTATCCAAAAAACATTCAAACAAAAAAAGGGTGGTGGTTAACTTTCAGATACAGTTTAATAATGAAAACCATTGCTGTTTTTAAAGCAATGAATTTTAGTTTTGAATGTGAGAATTATATAATTTTTTAAAAAGAGTTTCAAGGATGACAGCAATGTAATCACTGTAAAAATGTAAACAGATAAAATTCACCACTTTCACATAAAACATAGATACTCAAATATTAAGAGTTCAAATAAAATACATGCTGTGAAATGTAACAAAACACTGAAAAAGAAACAAGACACAAAATTACAGAGTTCAAACACACATTATACTTCAACTTTCACTTCATTTGATTTCCAGTGTTCCCAGATGCATCTTGTACAAATAGTTCCATAAACCTGGTGATTTTCTCTATTGTGAGGGCTGAGATGGCAATGATTGAACACTCTGAATTTTCTTTGGTAATAGAAAGTATGATTTATGAGAGAGGAATAAAAACCTAAGAAAACCATTCAATAAATTATTCAATTTTTAGATCAAGCTGATTTAGAGCAAATTTCTGTCATGCTGCCAGTAGAGAGAATATAGCTTAATAGATAAGAGTACAACGTTTAAGAGAATATCTTGGTTTGCATTCCTGTTTTTATTAATTTTGTGACTGTAGGCAACACACATACTCTCTTATGCCCCAGTTTATTCATTTTAAAAGTGGGATAATAATAAATAATAGGAAGTATAGCTTATAGTACAAGGTGTATACCTCTGGTGACATTCAAAGTAGCTGGTGTGGTTATGGCATAATTTTAAAACTGTATTTAATATGAATGAGAAATATATGTAGATAAATGTATATGTGGGTACATATGTGTATATATAGGTATATAATATGTGTGTGTGTGTGTATATATGTAATTTAAAAATTCAAGAGGTAGTTTCTTAGGCCCAACGTAGGCAGCAGAAGGAAAATCTATCTTTCTCAAAGAATGGTTCTTTTCAGTTTTACTTGGAAACTTCATGTCCATAAATATGGACATTTAAAGAGTGGTGAAGTTATCTGCACAGAGGATTCAATTGTTGGAAGTATAGTCTTAGTCTTCCTGTGGATTATATGAGAATTTAAGAAAAAAGTGAGAAAACATTCAAAATTTATTTTGCATAGTGTTGGAATGCATTAAGAGTTCAATAATGGCTGGATGCAGTGGTAAACGTCTGTAATTCCAGTGGCTCGGGAGGCTAAAACAGGAGGATTGTGAGTTCAAAGCCAGCCTCAGCAAAAGCAAGGTGCTAAGCAACTCAGTAATACCCTGTCTCTAAATAAAATACAAAATAGGACTGGGGATGTGGGTTAGTGGTTGAGTGCCCATGAGTTCAATCTCTGGAACCCCCCCTCCAAAAAAAAAAAAAAAAGGAACTCAATAATTGCTGAGTTCAGTGGCATATGCCTAGAATCCCAATGGCCAGGGAGGCTGAGGCAGGAGGACTGTGAGTTCAAAGCCAGCTTCAGCAACTTAGGGAGGCGCTAAGCTACTTAATGAGACTCTGTCTCAAAATAAAATATAAAAAGGGCTGGAGATGTGGCTTAGTGTTTAAGTGCCATTGGGTTCAATCCCTGGTACCAAAAAAACAAAAACAAAAACAAAATCAAAAGACAAAAAACAAAACCTCAATAATTGTTATTATTTTTCTATGATTTGTTATTACTATATTACATATAGCTAATAAACCAAATATACTTCATTCTATCATAATACAAATTTATGATTACCCATGCTAAACAAAACTATCATCTTTTACTTTACAACTGATCCACAAAAAAAGATGTATTGCAAAAAAAAAAACAAGAAAAAAAAATCAGGAAAAAAGCAGGAAGTGGAGAGAGCTCAGAGGAGACAAATGAGCAAGAACCTTATAAAATTAAAATATACCATTTATCATAAGAATACTTGTAAAATAATATATGTTACAATGATACTTGAGCTAAGTAAATCTGCCTGTTAGAGGATCATCACACCAATCTCCTCCACCATCTTTTTAACTTTTTCTCTGAACATTTGAAATAAAGCAGCTTTTTTTTTTGTCTTCCAAATACCATCATGTAATATAGTACATATCACTATATTGAAATTCTAAGATCTTTTACTATCATTTTACTAAGTTCTTTTGAATCTTTTAAAAACACATCTTTTCCCAAAGGGGAAAAGGGCAATTTAATATAATATTGTTTGGGTAGTTTCCTCTTTAATGCCTGTGATGTATTTCATATTTAATTGCAAAGTAGTTAGTATTTTCGTGCAAGTAATATTCCTTGAGAAAATACATGTTCCACATTTTGTGAATATGTTATTTGTTTAATAATTTATTCTAAAACCCATCCACCAACATATAAACTAGTTTAATACTTCGGTGTTCCAATTCTTATCAGCAGTTAACCCCAATTATTTTTTTTCATAAGCAAAGAGAAAATCTTTTCATAACTGATCAGGACAGCTAATGCCAAACTTGAAGTCCAAATGTCTTCAGTCATAGTTAGATGAGATTCCATTGTGTCAAGAACAGTTATTACGTTTGAGAATGACCTGGGGCTAGAACTGGGTCCAATCTGGTGGAAGTACAAATATGGGTAAGGCATGTGACAGCAAAACTTATCTCAAGTTTCACTCTGATAGTCTACCAAGAGCTTCTTGCCCAGAAAAAAAGAATGGGCAAAGAATAAGGTAAACCCTGAAGATTAAAGATAATGCTCATAAAAGCTACCTCACGTGATCAATGACACAGGCTTTGGGGACTTGGGAAGAAACCTACCAATGGCACCAAGGATGGCTCTCTGTATGAGTCAAGAGCTCAATGTAGTCACTGAAATTTAAGTAAAAAGGAATTTTTATACTTCTTACTTAAAAGGTGTAATATAACTGCAGTCATGCGATACAAGAAAACGAGCTCTTCATAGAGGTATTACCAAATAACTAAAAAAACAACAACAAATCAACAAGTTGAAATAGCCATCTAGCTTTGTCAAAGTATTTACTGAATTTTCCATCATCAGGGCCTTCCTGGCATCTAGAAATATTCTAGTTTTATTTATTTATTTTTTTACTCTTTGGCCTATTCTGAGTATGCCTTTTTATCTCTCACCACGTAACACTCTCCCATCAGTAATTTTATAAAATAACAAGTGTAAATAATTGTATTTCCAAGAATGATACCGGTTCTAAGATTTAACTTTAGAAATATAACAAATTTCTGAGTCTCAAATAAATAAAAATAAAATCTCTTTTGAGAGATAAAAGAAACATCTGACAATTTTAACAATCTTGAATATATATGTTTATAATGTGTTTTCCTGTCCAAAACACTCAATTAATTACATTACAAATTAATTATTCATCAAAAGCTTACTAATAAAGTTTGTAGTTAATTTTTTATATGTTTTAGTTGCTTTTTTAAAAAGTCATGGTAATTGGGATTAAAAAAACAGTTAACACTGTATTATATTAATTTGGATCGATATGCTAGCCATAAACCATAAACATTATTATTTTTATTATGAAGCTATAATGAAAAAGTTAATTATAAAAATCAAATGGGTCCAACTGTAAAACTGGTTTCATTTTCTATACAATATTTCTTCTTCCTAGAAAAGAAAAATCAGCAAATGACTATTATCAAGGAACAAAACAAACATATTTAGGACCCATTATTATTTGGATATAGGTGTGATATATATCCTTTTAAGCTATTGTGGTTAATTCTATCTTCATTTTTAATCCCTCAACTTCAAAACATTGTTATAAATAATGTACAATTTACTTCTAGAAAAATATTTATTTTTTTGTAGAATCTAAAAGTTCTTTAAAAATCTGACAATCAGGGGAAATTGATAGCAGATAAGATAGAAACAAGGCACTTGGCTTGGATCTTGCAGAAATGAGATGAACTTATTTTTCAACAGTATATATTATAAAGTTACATTCTCATTTAGTACAAAATTTCTACTAAAACAGTAATCCGGTAAAATTTTACTTACTTTGTGGAGCTGAAGTGTTTCTAATACACTGTAATTCTAGTTCCTCAGTCCACTCCTTCTTTGGGATCTGCATCATCTCATAGTTACCATTCTCTGCTGTGGACACTGGTTGACTGTCAATTGGCGTCTTTCTCAAACTTTTCATGTGCTGCTGCACTTCAGCCAAGAGAACAGCTTGTATTGCTTCAGTTACCTAGAAAGGTTTTTGTTGTAACTGTTGTTGTTTTAGTGAATTATTTTTAATAGTTTTATTACAAATACTTGATAGTCTAGAAAAAGCCCAGAATTTTGATTTAATTGAATTTCTATAAATAATACTGTTACATTCTGGTAGAAGTAGCATCTAAAGGAGCTAAAATATGGGGAGTAAAAGCTGTTCTGCAAATCCAAGATTCTAAATGGATACTTGAAAGGAGTTTTCAATTCTTTGATCTAACTAAGCTATTTTAAGTTTCATTAGAAGTTACAGAAAATTAATGTATCATATTGCATTTAAAGACAAGGTTAGCTCTTCAAATTATGTTCAGTTCCAAAGCACCAGTTACCTAAAACACTGGATTTAAACTGTTTAATAGAGAAGGTTAAAGAAAGGACTTTAATAATAAATCTCACTCAGCTGAATGAATGCATATGTAGTTTTACACAGATTAAAACACTGCAAGGCCTTCCCTTCCAGTTGTTGTGCTTACCTACTCAAGGAGCTGTGGCTGGATGGGGGCAGGGAGATGTTTATCACAGAGCATCTACTCTAATTCCTTCCCTCCCTCCCTCCCTCCCTTCCTTCCTTCCTTCCTTCCTTCCTTCCTTCCTTCCTTCCTTCCTTCCTTCCTTCCTTCCTTCCTCCCTCCCTCCCT